AATACAAGCTTGCACACCAACTAGCCTCTGGTAATAGACCTCTCTATAGCCTCAGCTAATAAAACTCTACCCTAGTGATATCCACCCTAGCAATACTTTATCAGTAATGCCTGCCCCTGTGGAGTCTTCACAAATGCCCTATAGGAAAAGAGAACCTTCTGTGGTGATAACCTAAAACTATATAATGTTGTGCAAGATCTTCTAAACCTAAAATCTAATATTATATTTGTTCAGATATTACAATACTTAGACCAGCAATATAATTTGGCAAACGTATTAAAATGGTCTCTAGTACTTGTAGTTAACCCGAATCTATCGGTTAACTCTGGAGCTATAGAAGTAACAGTAAGCATAATATTAAACAAAATGATGAAAAAACTGTAGTTACAGATCAATGAACTCTCTACAATATTGGTAGTTATCACAAATAAGTCAAAAATAAGAGCCCTAAAAAAAATAAATGATCTTAAATTAGTTCTAGAAAGTATAATAATACTAACTACTTTTCAAGTCATAGAATCAACCAAACAAACTCTCTTCTTGGGTACAGATTAATTCTGACAAGCTAGAGTCCACCTCCATACTGACAAAAAGAAGCTGTATATACAATACCAGGGTAAGTTTGTTGAAGTATCTATGTTTTATAAAAGAGAAATTCTACTGTACTACTAGCAACTATTGTTAAGTTTAAAAAATCAGAAAACCTGAAGGTTGAGGCCCATTTGATGATTTTGAATATGAAGAAAAAGCTTTAGAAGAGGCAAAAGGTTTTTAACTAAGCAATATGGAGAATTAAAGCTATATGAAACTCTCTAGTTAAACCATAAAAACCCACTGTGTACTTTTCTGGCATTGAAAGTGTTTCTGTAGAGAAGAATAAAGAGGAAAATAAGAAAAGCATAATAAAAAAGGTAGAAAAGATCCTTGACAATGAAGTTTTGGCAAAGGGCCAAAAGACTGCTAGATACAAAATATTAAGTAAGAAACAGGATATTTTCACTGAAAGTGTAAGTGATTTTAGTCAAATATTGGTATACATTTATGAAATCAATACTAGTAGTGCTACCTCATCAAACAAGCCCTATATCATGCTGTGTTAAGTGTACTAATTTTATCAGAAAAGAAATCAAGAAATTAATAGCAAAAAGGTTAGCAGTCAGGGAATATGTCATACCTGTTTATATATGACTGTTAATATATAATAAAAATTATAATAAAAACATATAAATTTACTATAAACTTTAAGCTC